GAGCCCTCAGAGAGTCAAGTAGGTGCCTTCTCTCACACCCCTTTCTCCCCACAGCCTCCTATCCTACCACCTCCCCACTCACTCCAGCTTCTGTTGCTCCCAAAGTCTAATCTATGGCTTCAGACCAGCACATCCAGCACATCCCAGAGCTGCATGACACATGCTGGCATCCCTCATTGCTTTCCAGCACGTATGGGCCCTGCTCTCACTGTGTTGAGAACACAATTCCCCCTGCACCGGTGAGGAGCATCCTGGCTGCGCTTCGCTCCTTCACCATGTTTCAGACACTGTGTGAGCAGAGGGTTAACGATTCCCACATTAAGTGGCTGCAGATGTGTGGGAAAGTCTGGGGCGACTGGACGGCATCGCTATTAGTATTCACCCAGGAGTCTGTCACTGCCTCCCGGGGCTCTGCTGAGCACATTTAATACTAAGGTTTGTCGCAGGGGTGAGGAGGAGTGCGTGGGATGGGGGCGGAAAGGCCCCAAGGTGGGGAAAAGCAGCGGGTTAGCATCCTCTGCTGCTGACTGCTGCCTCCTCCAAGTGCCCAAACCCAGAGGATGTAGGGGATGGGCCAGCATCTGTAGGGGCACAGCACCATATGGTATAAGGTTCAGTGCTACCTCCTGACATCACTATCACCTTGTGGTGTCCATTCTTAGTCCTGCAGGATACTCCCCAGCCCAGAATGCTCCCCAGAGCATTGTACTTGGACATATGGTCACTCTGGAAGGAGCACAGCACTTTCAGTTTCCCCTTTCTCCCTGGGCACTGCCATCACCCACCATGCACAGGGTAGTGGTTTCACCGGAGGCCAGGACAGAGCTCTGGATGAATACTCTGTGCAGCTCACCCCCAGGATCCAGGAGCTGGATCCAACCAGAAGCAAGTGCTGGCAGCTGCCACACCAGATGGGCTGCCCAGATGTGGTGCTGTGCTCCCTGGCACTCACTGCTCCTCTCTTGTGGTCTGCGGCTTGACACCAGATCAGAGTGATGCTGAAATTCCTGGGCTGACTCGGAGTTGATAGAGGTTCAGAGAAACCAAAGCTGGCGTGAACCTGGCCCTCATTAAACCTTCAGAGAAGTGGCAAAGACTGACATCTGCTGTTGCTTTCCTACCTGCCTCTCACCTGCTGGGACATGGGACCTGTTGCTGACTCCAGCATGGCTGTTCCCACCATTGTGTTGAGTCGCCTGGCTCTGGTCTCTCTCTTCCATGTCAGGCATGGGATATGGAATTTTCCCTGTGGTCCCAGCTCTGCCTTGGATGGGGCAGGAGGTTAGAGAGCTGTTTTGATCCAGGTGATGCCAGAGCAGACCAAACTCCCTGGAGTGTTCCTGTCTCAGTGGCTGCTGTCCCCACCAGAGATGCTGCCCCACATGACCCCAAGGCCCCATTAGCACTTAGTGATGCTTATTGAGTCTGGAAAGCTCAGCTGAGAGCAGTCTGGCATCCCACACTGCAGCTGTCCGAGCCCCAGGGGGATCACTGAGCCCTGCAGTTCCATGAGCAGGGGGTGCAGGAGCCAAAAATAGAGGTGAGCAGTGAAGCAGGGATGAGGCCGAAGTAGCAGAGCTGCTGCTCTCCACCCACACACTCACACAAGCAAGTCCCCCTGGCTTCGGTGCTTCCTCCGAGCTGGCCTTTCCCAGGAGTTGCTGTAACCCCAACGTGCTGTTCCTAAACAAAGTGTGCAGCCCTGAGTGCTCCCTGGAGATGCACAGCGCAGGCCAACGTGTGCTTGCTGGGATGCTGTGGGCTCTCCAGGGCTCTCTCCACATCCCAAAACAATGAATCTTTGCCTTTGCAGACTTCTCCAGGGAGAGGTTTTTGTCCTAGGAGAGGTATTTTTCCTGGGAGAGGGTTCTCCCTGCCTGCTCCAGCCCAGAGCGGGCACTGGGACCATCAGTTTGCAGAGGGCAAAGTGGATAATATGTCTCACCTCAGCCTCAGGACACTCTGCCCATAAGTGTGGTCCATGCTAGCTTTTCCATACCCTGCTTACTCCAGGCA